GAGGCAGCAGAGGCTTGGCACGGTTAAAGAATGGAAGGTTGGTGTGGCTGAGCCGGGTAGGGGCGCGGTGTTATGGGAGAGGAGGCTGGAGAGATGGACAAGGGCTTGGGGGTGCGGGACTGAAGGACCTATTCGTTCTGAGCAGGAGTGACATGATCCAAATTACCTTTTCAAAAAGGCACTCTGGCGGCTGTGCAGCCAATGGACTGTAGAGGGGGCAAGAGTAGATGTTGGTGTTTGTAGTCCTTATAGCTCTGCCTCTAAATATTGTGTTTCATTCATTGGCTTCGCAGGTCAGGGGTGTCTCAGGGATGGCCTTCTCAGTAGGTTCCAAGACAGGGTCCCTTCACATGAGATTAGGCTGTGGTTTATTCACATTAAATAGGAAAAGTCTTTTCCCCCTCCCATCCCTGTAGGCACACACCTACGCGCTTCTCAGACGGACTTGTTGCATGACTAAGTCCTTTGTTTACATCGGGTAGGACAGCGGTCAGAACAGGTGGGAATCCAGGGATTGGTTCTGCAACATCTTATCAAAATAATAAGCAGTTTCGTCTGGGAAACCTTAATCCTGGTTAGAAATGGAAATACATTGGAGGGCTTCATGGTGCTTTGCGATGTGCTCTGAAAGTAACACGTGTCTTAAACTCCTCGTGTAGGAATCTCAGTGCTTGTGGAGGCTTTGAGGTTTGCGATGACATGGTGACGAAGGACATCATGACGCCCCTGGTCGCCCTGCTCCGGGAGGTATGCAGCTTCTACAGAATCCTGGGGGCAGTTGTCAGATGGAGCGTTTAGTGTGCAAACTCAGGGTTTTTTGTTTTAGTACTTTGGTATGTTGTCTTCCCTCAAAACATCCTATGGGAATTTTATTTCTTTTCCTGGAAACACTGATCTCTCATCATTGATAGCAGTCTCTAGTTTGTCCCCACTACCTTTATTTATCTACTAGTTGGAAAAGACCTTCCCAAAACTATAGACAGACTCCTTTAGGCTTTAAACTTCATACAACAAAATAATTAGCATTCCTTCTTTATGCACCAGGTGCTCTTTTATATACTGTTAAACCCTCACAGCAGTCCACTTGGCATCTGTAAAATATCTGTGTTTTTGTTTTGTTTTTTTTTGCCTGAAAGATGACATTAAGTTCCCAGATTTAATACCGTGCCAACTTTTTTTGCGTGATACGAGCTCCGGGATCAAGGCGCTCTCTCCCTGGCGTGCCTCTGATCCACGGTGCTGTCCTGAGGGGTGATTTTCACTCAGTGCTCTCTCAGGGTCATCAGTTCTATGAGAGGCACCAGCCTGTTCCGTTGTAAAGCAGTGGTTGCATCAGGAGTGACTTGCCCCACAGGAGCCATCTTTGATGGTCACAGCTTGGGGGTGGGCTGCTCCTGGCAGGTGGTGACCCAGGATGCACACGTCAGCCCCACAGTAGAGACTTGTCCGGCCTAAAACGCCGGCCGTGCCGGAGGCGAGAGGCCCTGCTTTAGGGGACGCCGTGGATGCTGCTCAAGGCGCAGTACACAGGGTGGTCCCCAGCACCCGCTCCAGCCAGGATGCCTGGGTCTGAATCCCAGCTGCGCCACATACCACGCTACCCCCTCAGCAGCTCTCTGAACCTCAGTTTCCTGCCGGTAGTGGAAGACTGGACAATGGTTCCTCTACTTCATGGGCTTGTGGTGCGGGTTAAGTGACTCAGTACATGTGAGGTGCGTAGACTGGTGCCTTGCATTTAGAAGGTACTGTGTAGATGTTAGATCTTACCATGTGTTGGTTTTCTTTGCCTTGTTTACTGTCTTTATCACATTAGATTAAATACTTTGTATTGATTTTACATTTTTATTTTTTTGTCTTGTTTGTTTTGTTAATCCTCACCTGAGGATATTTTTTCCATTAATTTCCACAGAGAGTGGAGGAGTGGAAGGGAGGCGGGGAGAGAGAGAAACATCGATGTGAGACACATCAGTCGGATGCTTCCCGCACGCACCCCCATGGGGGCAGGGATCCTGCAGCCCAAGTTCGTGCCCTTGACTGGGAATCGAACCCCAGACTCCTTGGTCCTCTTGCCAAAGCGGAGCAGCTTGTGAACCACTATAATTTCTGATGTTTAGATTTTGTGGTTCTTCGCTGTCATTAGCCGTTTGGTTTCATTGTTCTTTTGAACCAGGTGCTACTTTTGATGTTTGGTTACAGTGTAGCACTGGACTGGATTCCAACGAGGTGCCTCCGCGGGAAGGGAAGGAGCAGCACAGACATTCTGTTGAGAACATAGCCAACGAGGCCGTGAACGTGCTATGGAACATCTGGTGAGGCGCTCTCAGCCCTGCCCTGGTCGCGGCGCGGCTCAGCCCCGGGGACGCTCTGCTCTCCGCTGTGCGCCTGTAACCCGGACGCTGACCCTGGGTGGGCGGTCAGGTCAGGTGCTGAGTCCTCCCTCCCGGCTTGGTCCCTCATCACTGCATCTTTTCCTGCTTCTCCGCGCTTCTCCCCAGTCCTTACTACTGACCAAAACACGGGGAGCCTTGGGCACTGGCACGTGCCGCACACCCTTCCCCCACCGCCGTGTACCTGCAGTGGCAGCTGTCTTAAAGCCAGCCGGCCCTGCGCAGTCGCTGCTTTGGTCTGGCATCTGGAACGAGACAGGGACCACACAGCTCGGTGGTGCTTGACTCCCCCACCCTGCGTTGCCGTGCGACAGGGAAGCAGGTGCCTGGGAGGAGCCCCGGCCCCGCTCCATTCCAGGACTGCCGCAGCCGTGGCCTGGGTGCACTTGCTCTTAGGAGTGCAAATGGCTAGAAACACAACCTGGATCTCCTTTTTTCTCCCCCATTTTATGTTCTCCATTTTTAGCAAGATACTGCCATAGCTCCTTCTGTTTAGTCAGCAGCAATTATAACTTCTGGCCAAAAGCACGGGTATTTCTTAGAAGACAAGACTCAGTTAGATCTGAAAGCTGCCGACACAGCAGCCCCAACTTGCCTTTGGTTCATGGGAAACTAGTGCACGTGCTCCCCCAGCAGCACGGGGGAGCCGATGTGAGGAGACGGCATCGGAGCCAGCGGCGGGGCACCACGTGACTTTATTTATTTATTAAATGTTTTTATTGATTTCAGAGATGAAGGGGGAGGGAGAGAGAAACACCAATGATGAGAGAGGATCACTGATCGGCTGCCTCCTGCACGCCCCACACTGGGGCTCAAGCCTGCAACCCAGGCCTGTGCCCCGACTGACTGGGAATCGAACCCTGACCTCCTGATTCATGGGGTCAACCATTGAGCCACAACACCGGGCCACATAACTTCAACCTATAGAAACTGCTGAACTTGGAGATTCTCTAGAAAGTTCTCCGGGAAGAGCCTGAAAGTGTAATCTCCTCAGTGAGCTCTCTCCTGATGCCTGTGAGCCTGTGTCATGCCACTGACATGTTTGCTTGTAGTTTATATTGTAAACATACTTACATACGTGTGCACTTTTACTGTCTCAGTGCAGGTGTGTTTACCTTCCTGGCTGTACTGACTTAGCTGGGCTTCTTGAGGGCAGGCTCATGGAGTGTGCAGTAACTAGATAGATAGGAAGACAGGAACAGTTTATGTTTCAGTTCATAGGACTGGATTTAGTGCTGTAGTCAGCTTAGCTATTAGTGTGTCATATGGGTATGTGGTATGTATGGGGCAATGTTTTCTCTGGAAACATGGCTGTCATTGCAGTTAGCTCTGTTTACCGTGTATTTAGTACATATGATAATAGCAGTGATAACATTAATTCTGATTTTTTTATTAACAGATAGTACGGTTTTTAAAAATATGGCAGGATCTCCGTTGCAGACTGTAAATTCTGCTTGTTGAAATTATCATAGTCTAGAAAGAATGGCTAAAATTTAATTCTACTTTCTTAAAATTGCGTGCCTTTGGGGATAAGCACAGAGGCCTTTAACTTACTGTCACTGCGGCGCGGTGGGAAGCGCAGGGGCCGACCCTAGGAGCCACCACTCACAGAAGGTGTGGTCCTTGGGCAGGTCACGCACCTCTGGGGCCTGGGTCTCCTCCTCTGGAAGGAGGTGGTTTCTCAGGCTCTTCTAGCTCTGACCGCCTGTGAGCAGACGGGGTCAGGCAGAGAGACGGGCAGAAGAGCCCACTGGGTAGAGAAATAGACGCAGACACGGGCTGCGTTCCTGTCCAGAGAGGACCGAGGGCAGTGGTTTCTTCATAAAATGGCGGGTGTTTGACTCCAGCTCTGGTTCTGTTATAAAACCTGGCTGACTTTTTCATGAATTTCTGTGGTTGATTTCTTAATGTGAAAATGTGAATAGTAACACTTTTTTCCCCCCTTCAATTTAGTGAATGCAGTAACAGAGCAGTGTCTATATTCAACAAAGAAGGGTGCTTGGAGATTGTATTAAAGTACTTAAGTAGATTTCCCAGCAATGTCGACCTGGCTATTTCAGCAGGTAAGTGAAGAAACGGTGATGATCTCCTTACGTGTGGCCTTGTTTGAAAATGTTTATTCAGATGTAGCATGTTTTCTCGTGTGCAAATGCATAGCTGAGCTCTGTTCTGAATCTTTTAAAATCTTTCGTCAGTACTTACACAGTTTTCCTGCTCTTCACTCGGAAAGGGAGGGAAGCAGTTAATTGAGCCTGTGAGGCTTCTGCTGTTACATTCATAGAAGCCTCTCACTTCCTGAGCTCCTGTCTCACATTCACGGAGAAACAGTGACCCACAGCTACCAGGCCTTGCAGCCAAAGGTCATTGGATTCTGGACCTATTTAAATACCTTGCATCACTGTCTCCTACTTCTTTTTTAAACATGTTTTTATTGATTTTTAGAGAGAGAGGAGGAGAGAGGGATAGGATAGAAAAAAACATCAATGAGAGAGAAGCATCATTGATCAGCTGCCTCCGGCACACCCCCTACTGGGGATTGAGCCCACAACCCAGGCATGCGCCCTGACTGAGATCGAACCGGTGGCCTCTTGGTTCATGGGTCGGTGTTCAATCACTGAGCCACACCAGCCGGGCTGCTGTCTCCTACCTTTAGCATAAAACTGGTAAATCTGGGCTTTTTTTTGAGAGAGGAAAACAAATGATTGAAATTTCTCGCAGGCCTGCTTCCCTTCCGTGGGATGGCAAAGCTGCCCGCCTCCCTCCTCCTGTCCACGGGGTTAGAGAGCCATGGGTGAGGTAGGAGCCGAAACCGGAGAACTTGGAGTAGAGCAGAGAAATAATTGATGAAAAGCATCCCTTTTCTGCCCATAATCCCGGCAGGCATCCTTTATTTAACTCTGCATTCTCCTGGCAAGGACGAAGCACATTCCCCTTAATGCTGTTTCTCTTGGCTCTAATGGGTACTTTTAAGAGCACAGAAAAGAAAAAGAAAAAGAAAAAAAGCGGGGGGGGGGGGGGGGGTGCAAATACTACTGGGGAAATTTAAAAATCTTTTTCTTAAAATGGACTATTTGGCAGGGGGCAGACTGAGTAAATGTGGAGTTTCATAAACAGTGGAACAAGGAAATTGGCAGGTGACTTTTAATCTCAGAGGTTGGGTTTTATTACAATAAGAGTTTCAGGAAAGTTAGTTCATTGCTTTTAAAAGAAAAAAGTCAATTCTATTTTTGTGTCTTTAGTCTTGTCATAGATTTATTTGTCTTGTTTGAATTCAGGCGAGGAGTTAAATGGAGCTATTTTGGTGTGAGTTACCCTCGCAGAATTCATTGTTTCTGAGCATTTCATTCTTGTCTTCCTAGCCTATTGTTTGCAGACGGTAACTGAAGAGAACCCAGAGCTACTGAAATCGCTCAGTGCCTCAGCGCTGCACGTGCTGGAATCCGCCATGCGGGCTCCTGTCAGCTCCATGGCGTATACCCTGTTGAAGACACTGGTTGCAGGTAAAGTTTAGCCGGCTGTGACAGGTGCTTTTCAGTAACCTGTAGAGACGGGAGGCTGAAACTCCTTGATTTCACCAATCCGGGCCTTCTGTGCTTATTATGTCTGTTCTGAAATTTTTAATATTGAAGTGGAGACCCTGAACTCAAGCGGTGTGCATAGTTGGGAAGCCTCCTAGAGTCGGCTTGTTTTCCATGTAACAGAATACTGTTGTCTGATGGAGAAATGCTGCTCTCAGGGTCCCTTATAACTAGGAAGATCAGAAATGGGCTGTGGGCATCTAAGACGTGACCACTCACTATATACATATATTTATTGATTTCAGTGAGGAAGGGAGTGGGAGAGAGAGAAACATCAGTGATGAGAGAGAATCGTTGATTGGCTGCCTCCTGCACGGCCCCCATTTGGGATCCAGCCTGCAACCCGGGCATGTGCCCCTGACCAGGTATCAAACCATGACCTCCTGGTTCATAGGTCCATGCTCAACCACTGAGCCACACTGGCCAGGCTGTATGTACCACATTTGGTTTATCCATTCATCTGTGGATGGATACCTGGGTGGCTTCCAACCTCTGGCTGTTGAATAATGCTGCAGTGAGTACAGGGATGCAAATACCTGCTTGAGTCCCTGCTTTCAGTTCTTTTGGGTATGTACCCAGGAAGTATTTTTAACAGTCACTCTTTAAACCATTGGCCTAACTACTTAATGGTAGCTCCCGTTCTATTTTGATAAGAACGTGCTGCGTCGCCGAAACCGGTTTGGCTCAGTGGACAGAGCGTCGGCCTGCGGACTGAAGGGTCCCGGGTTCGATTCCGGTCAAGGGCATGTGCCTGGGTTGCGGGCACATCCCCAGTGGGAGATGTGCGGGAGGCGGCTGATCGATGTTTCTCTCCCATCGATGTTTCTAACTATCTATCTCTCTCCCTTCCTCTCTGTAAAAAATCAATAAAATATATTTAAAAAAAAAAAAAAAAAAAAGAACGTGCTGCGTGATTGGTCCGTTTGAGAGACCTTGGAATTTTTAATACATTCCATTCCACTCTTGGAATATAAGAAGCTGCCTCGGAGAGTAGCTCAGGTTAAGATGAAAGAAAGCGAAGCAACTGAATTTATCATTTTCAAAGAAACTCGATCGGTGCTCCTGGTCTGTTGTGAGGCGGTGTATCAGAGGAGGGCCTGTGAGCCAAGGAGGGGAGAGGTGGCGAGGGGCCGTAGTAACAGGAGCTGCCTCTGTGCACAGCTCTCTGACATGTACTAGAAACCGAACAAAGGCAGTGGGATCAAGATGTTTTGAAATTACAGCTGAGCTTAGAGAACCAATCTTGTGGAAACCGTATTTATCAGATTTCGAAGGCGAGTCCTTTGTCCTTGCGCTCATTTTCTCCCAGGCACAGTGTGGAATCTAAAGGACATTATCCCGTCCAAGAGTCAAGCAGAAATCATAAGCGCCATCCTCAAGATCTTATCCGAAGTTTTGGAAATGGACGCCGGCGCAGTGGTCATTCAGATGAAGGAGGCCGAGACGCAGAGGCTGAGAACCGCCGCGGAGACGGAGGAGATGCTGGAGAACGCGAACGGCGTGGGCTTGACCGAAGACGATGAGATGGAGGAGACTCCTCCCAGGAGAAGGGTCAGGAGGAAAACTTTCATTTCGGATTTACTTCCGGTAAGTCGGGTCGGTGCGTCCAAACGGGGTCACATGGAGGTTTTTTCAACAGCTACCCGACGTTTTGTAGGACAGTGTGAGAGCAGAGTTAACTAGAAAGTGGATTTCAGTGAAAATCAGTGCTGTCTTCCTACTCCTACAGGGGAAAAGCCTGTTTAGAATGAAACGTTTACATACAGAAGATTTCAAAGACGGGACAGAGCAAACTGTTACAGCACGTTAGAAACACGTGGTCATCTTCCCAGCTGCTGTCTCCTCAGCGCCTTTACACGCCGTCTCCCGACTTACCCAGCAGAGGAATTGTCACTCTGCTTGGATTGTCCAACCCAGGGCATCTTTGTCTCTTTTATTTTATTTATTTATTACATTTTTATTGATTTCAGCAAGGAAGGAAGAGAGAGAGAGATAGGAACATCAATGATGAGAGAGACTCATAGATCGGCTGCCTCCTGCACACCCCCAACTGGGGATGGAGCCCGCAACCTGGGCATGTGCCCTGACTGAGAGTCCAATCCTGACCTCTTGGTTCACAGGTGGATGCTCAGCCACTGAGCTCCGCTGGCCAGGCCTCGTCTCTTTTGTGTTAGTGCTGAGCCTCACCAGGCAGCCGGCCAGACGGCCCTGTGCCCACCGCTGCTGCACGGAAGAGGCTGGGCGATGGGGAAGATGAGCGATGGCTGATGGGTTTGCTGATTGGGTGATGGTGCTCGCTCGTGCCAGTGGGTGTGATGGTGGCGTGAGGGTGCAGGGAACTTTTCAGCCGAGCTGGTCAGCAGAGAGAACGCTCCCAAGGAGGAGAGCAGGTGGTCAGGAGGACAGGGAGGAGCGGAACCTGCTCATTCAGGTGCACATCTGTGCCCTGCCGGGTGCCAGGCTTGGGCCAGGTGCTGACAAAGGGAAGATGACTAAGATGCATTTCCGATCTTTAGGGACCGCCTCCATCGTGGGAGGAGAGGTGCGCGGTAGTGACTTACTGTCATGCCTGTGTTGGGACCGCAGGGGCTGGGCACAGGCCTCCCCGGGAGCAGTTTGTGTAGAGGAGGCAGAGGATGGAAGAGGCTGTCAGAGAGCACTCTGGACAGGCACCTGGGCCGCTTTAGAGGCTGGGCCACGCCAGCGTGGTGAGAGCAGACGGCGCTGTGAGGGCCTGGAGGCCAGAGGCGCCATCCTGGGGGGAGGAGGCCTGAGTTGGAAGAAGGCACGAATGTCCCCACACTGTACCGCTTCAAACCAGCCTGTCTTCCTTCATGTCAAACGACCTGTAACAGGCTGATCTACGGGAGTGCCTTAGAGTTTTGTGAGGCTGTGCCCAGTAAGAATTAATGTGCCTGAAAAGACATCTGTCAGCATACTACTTGTTTGTGTTCACACAGTCTCTTAAGCATGAACTGGTGGTGTTTAAAAGAAAATTGTAGTTAGAGCTACTTTTCTAGCCCCATGAATAGCTGTTAGGTGCAAAGCATTGTGTCAGGTGTGGGGTGAACACTGCCCTTGAGTTTCTTGCAAGTCATAGAGTGTCGCCCTGGCCATTTGCCTCTGTGGTTAGGGCGTCTACCCATGGACTGAAGGGACTCAGGTTCAGTTCCAATCAAGGACATGTACCTGGGTTGCGGGTTCAGTCGAGGCGCGTGTGGGTGGCAACCAGTCGATGTGTCTTGCCTCTCACATCAATGTGTCTCTCTCTCTTCCCCCCTTTGTCCCCCCTTCCTCTCTCTGAAAATAATGGAAAAAAATATCCTCATGTGAGGATTAACAGCAACAAAAAGTATGGATACTTAACTAGTATTTAGAGATTTACTCCCCTAAGTACTCTTTAAAAATAGAACTTTGCTGCTTATAAAATGCAGTGTTTTCTTATAACAGAAGCTTGCTTTTTAAAGTCTATTGACATAACTGAGTGGACTGGGTGATTAACATGCCAGTCGGCCAGCCAGTGTTTAGGTGCCCGTCGGCTGCCAGCCATCATGCTGGTACGTGCCCGGAATACAGACATACAGTCCGTCAGCTCCGGTCCTCACTGTGCGGGAGTCCTTTAGAATCAGAACCTGTAATCGCAGCATTTCACGTAAGAAGCTGCGATCACAGACAAGGGTCCTCGCTACCCCGCGTCCACAGCTGTCGACCATCAAACCGCAGTCTGTTCTTCTCGTCGATGTCCCTGCCCACTCTCCCCTCCACTGCCCAGTGTTTTGAAGCCGATCTCTGCTGTCGTAACATTTCCGCTAGATTGGCTCCTCCTGTCACTTGGATAGCAATGAGCAGCAGGGAACTGTTCTGAGCAGGAGAGTTGCATGGAAAGGCAAAAGTTAACTCAGATGCATCTAAGCCAGATCTGCGTGCCTTTTAAGTGGGTAAGAGCCTGCAACAGCCTGTCTCGTTTTTACATTTTTGTTTGGTTGAATACCATACCCACAGCAAAGAGGAATAATTTTTACATTCATCCTTGCCAGCAGTAAAAGGAATACAAATATTAGATGAGCTACATCTCTTCAGTTAGCCATTTGCCTTTATTTTTCAAGAGCTTGTTTCGAAATTACAGTTACATTGTTGTTGCACAGGAAGAGGCTGGAGGATAACAAGGGGTATATACATTCTAGAAGGAAATCGGGACTATGTCGCGGTCTCTAGTTATTTTGTTTGCTTGATTTTTAAAAAATGTTTTTATTGATTTTTAGCGAGAAGGGAGAGGGATGGAGAGATAGAAACATAGATGAGAGAGAAATCTCCATTGGCTGCCTCCTGCACGGCCCCTCCTGGGGATCCAGCCCACAACCTGGGCATGTGCCCTGACTGGGAATCAAACCAGCAACCTCCTGGTTCATAGGTCAGCACTCAGCCACAGAGCCACACTGGCCGGGCAGGTCTCTAGTTTTTAAACTCTGACCCATAAATCTGACAAATAAGATATCTCAAGTAATCTGAACTGTTCCACACTAGTGAAATGCGTAATAAATTATAATGCATCCGTCATTCAGACAGTAAAGTTTACATGATTTTTAGCTTATGCATGGGTTTGGAATGTCAGTGTAGCTATTTCACTTTCCATAGGTGATTTGTGAATTAAGGTTGTGTAAGTCTATCCAGCCCCTCTTAAGGATGGTAATTGACAAGGTTGTGTTAATTTATTCCCGGGGGAGGGGTGCCCCCTCTCTCTCCAGTGTTAAAGGAATGCCAGCTGCATCTTCAGGGCAGCCAGGAAGCAGCCTTCCGGTCCTCAGGTCCTCAGAAGCTCTGCGGGCGTGAAGGGCTGCTGGGAGTTCTCATGGGCGCAGTCTTTCCCAAGGGGACATCCAGGCATCTGAGAGCGGGTTTGTCGCGTGTCAGTGCCTGGCGTCTGAAATGAAATGAATGCTCTGTTTCATCTTAGTGCTCAGCTACTTCTTAATATATCCAGCTAAGTTTCAGGGTGAATTCAGTTCATGGGGCTGAGTATTTCTCTGTCTCTCCAGCTAGCAGATTGAGCGTCGACCTATGACCCAGGAGGTCACAGTTCGATTCCCCGTCAGGGCACATGCCTGGGTTGCAGGCTTGATCCCCAGTGGGGGCGTGCAGGAGGCAGCCGGTCCATGATTCTCTCTCATCATGGATGTTTCTCTCTCCCCCTCTCCCTTCCCCTCTGAAATCAATGAAAACATTATGAAAAGAACATGCTTCCCCGACTCTGAGCGCTGGTGTTGGTTTTCCTAGCCCACTAACGAGGAGCTGAGAGAGGCCACGGCGCTGCTGACGGCACAGCAGACCGCGCTGGAGATCATCGTCAACGTGTGCTGCAGCGAAGGTTCGTCCCCGGCCCTGCTCCCGGGCGGCCCCTGCTCCCCTGGGCTCCGCGGCTCCAGCGAGGCGTGCTCACCGACCCCAGCCCCGCGTGCTCTGCACTCTCCACAGATCCCTCGGACGACGAGTGGGAGGAAGAGCTTTCCAGCAGTGACGAGAGCGAGGCGTTCATGGAGAGTTCCCTGGGCGAGGGCGGGGGGCAGCTGCTGTCTCCCCTCTGCCTCTCGCACGAGACACACGCCGCCCTCACCAACTTCCATATCCCCAGGAAGGTACTGGCTCCCGGTCCGGGCTCGCCGTGCGGCGAGGGGAAGGCCTGGGAGGCTGCTCGCTCTGTGTGCAGGGGAGTGAGCTCACACTGGGTCACCGGGGACGAGGCCGAATGCCGGCCTGGACGCGGGCTGAGGAGCCTCAGCCGCCCACCGTCTCACGTAGCTGCCACGCCGGCTCTGTAAGGGGCCTGTATAAAGTCTACTCTTCAACTTCTGCTTTCCCGCCTTTTCAAGTCCAGGTGTTTGAGAAAACTGCCTTTCCCAGCAGCGCTGCCGTAGACGTGTGTTCCAGGAACCCCACGTGGAAACCTTTGGTTAGAAAGTAAGACCTTGTCTATTTTTAAAACCGTTTGTCGTCGCTGTGCTATGAAAGGGGGACCACTCAGCCGGAGCTGCCGCTGCCCCCGGGTTCCCGAGTTCTGTTCCCGAGTGTGTGCCCTGGAGAGGCGTGTGCTTAGGGCACTGAGACCCGAGTGTGTGCACAGCAGGGGGGTCCATCAGCGGCAGGATGTATCCATGCGTTTGGCATCGTCAGGCAGTAGGATGCAGGCAGCAGTAAGCAGAATCCGAGCTAGGACTTGTCCCCACGGGATGAAACAGCACCGAGCCAGAAAGGGAGGCACAAAGGAATATACGCACTGCTTCAGGTGCTTTTTAAAATATATTTTTATTGACTTCAGAGAGGAAGGGAGAGAGAAAGAGAGATAGAAACATCAATGGTGAGAGAGAATCATGGATCAGCTGCCTCCTGATCGCCCCCTACAGGGGATTGAGCTGCAACCTGGGCATGTGCCCTGACCAGGAATAGAACCGTGACCTCCTGGTTCATAGGTCAATTCTCAACCACTGAGCTGGGCTGATTCCGTTTTTACAAAGTTCAAAAGCAGGTGGCGCCAGGCTGTTGGTTAGGGATGCGTACATGAGTGGTGAACCTGTGAAGAAAGCAAGGAGCTGTTTCCCATCCATGTCGGGCGTGGTGACCTTCAGGGGTCGGAGAGGTGTGTCAGGGAAGGCACAGGGGGGCTTGGGGTGCCAGCCGCGTGCATTTCTCACCTGGGTGCAGGGTCGTTGGCTTTACACACTTAAACTGGACGTGCATTGGAGGGCTTTCCCGGAGGGAGGGCACACTTCCCAGCTACAGGTGATGTGAAAGCTGCTGCCGTGTACAGTTTTCTAAAGCCAATGCCTTATGCCCGGAAGTGGCTGCGCCTCGGGGCCTGGAGGCTCGGGCGGTGTGATGGGGTCTGTGCTGACTGCCACCCCTGCTTCCTGACGCCCCGAGTCAGCGCCAGAGCACAGGGTGGCTGTGAGCCTGGGTTCCCTGGGGGCCCCGTAGAGAAGCAGACGACATTCTCCGCTTCCGCCGCAGGATGAACACCATGCAGTGGCGAGCCCTCGTGTGTCTCCAGAGTCTCGTGTCCCTGCTGGAGGTGGAGCACCTGGGCGGGGCGCCGGCCCTGCAGGCCCTGGCGCAGCACCTGTCCACCCTGCTCTTTTCTCAGCCAGGTCAGTCGCCAGGCTGCTGTGGGCCCCACTCGGGCGGAGCGGGACTTTGAGGGGCAGAACCCAGGGAACAGGCCCTGTCCCGGTCCTTTCAGTCGCTACGGTCTTGCAGGGCTTTCCCAAGAGCTCGGCTTCCATCGCACAGCGTGTCTGTGACGATGGCATGTGCGCCACTTCCCACGCTCGGTCTGGGTCTGTCCCCTTTGCACGGAGCCGCCTTGGAGAAAGGCACTCACGCCTCACTCTGTTTCAGACTTTGCCAAGCACGTGGACTTCCTGGAAGCCATCAGCAGCGCCTTGAGGGCCCTTCTGCAAACAATGGCCGCCAAGAACATTTCTCAGGTGAGATGTTACAGCTGTTGGTGCAGCCGCCAGGAGCCTCGTTATGGAGGCAAAGTGATGCCCTCACTGCTGGTGAAGGGCCGTTTCCGTCACGTGGCCCTTGTACAGTACAAGGAAAGCAGAGGCGCCTAACGTGAAACTAAAGCCTTTCCCCCCTCCCACCACGGCCCCTCCTCCCACCATTGCCCCTCCTCCCACCGCGGCCCCTCCTCCCACCACGGCCCCTCCTCCCACCATTGCCCCTCCTCCCACCACGGCCGCAGGTTTTCTCATTGGTGCAGCTTCTTGACGTCAGGAGTAAAGGTTTTCTCTGCTCATCGTTTGTCTCCTAAAAGCATTTTATTACAGATGTTTTCAAGGACCCCCCTCCTGACCTCCACAGCGAACGACTTCACCTCCCAAAAGC